TCAGACCTTGTCTCTAAGTATCACCCTAACCGTCCCCTCCGCTCATCCATTGACCTCCTGCTTTCCAGCTCCCTTGTCCACTCCTCCCATACTTGCCTCCAGGACTTCTCTAGAGTCTCTCCCATCCTCTGGAACTCTTTACCCCAACCTGTCCGTCTATCTCCCACCTTGACTGCCTTTAGGCGTTCCCTAAAGACTCATCTCTTCAGGGAAGCCTATCCCACCTCAACCTAACCACTGAACCTTCACATTCTCACATAATTCATTCCCACAGCTACCACAGCTACCTCATGTATCATTTCCCCCTCCTCTTTTAGATTGTAAGCCCTCAGGGGCAGGGCCTTCCTTACCATCTTGTCTTGAATTGTATTGTAACTGTAATGTCTTCCTTATATCGTAAAGCGCTGCGCAAACTGTTGGCGCTATATAAATACTATGTAATAATAATAATAATACTTGTTTCAGGTCCATGATTCAGGACTTCACATACTTGTTTCAAGTTTTTATTTATTTATTTTTTTGTCTAGGTTAATTTAGTGAAAATGTAGGGTATCTCAAAAAAATAGGGGGTTATTCACAAAGCTACAGAGGGCAGCCAAGTGAATAACCGACCTGAAGTGAAGTGAGCCGAACGCTGTTCGGCTATTCACTTCAGGCTTGTACGGCAGATTTCAGCCGTACATCGGCTTGCAGCGGCTTGCAGCTGTTCGGCCGACCCGAAGTGCAGAAGGAGTTCGACTCAGCTGATCCAACATCTGGATCGGCTGAGCCGAACCTCCGGCAGGCTACTCGCTACTGTTCGGCCTATTCTCATAGAGGCCGATTAGCAGTGAGTGAATAGCCAAAAGCAGCATTCGGCTCGGCTATTCTGCTCGGTACCTCGGTGGTACCAAGCAGAATAGGAAAACTGTAAAAAAAAGTTGAAAAAAAAGTAGTTATCTGGTAACCAGGAGATGCTGCTTTGTCTCTGCATTCAAGTGGCCGGAGCCAGCCGTGAGATGACAGCTGGCTCTGCCCAGCTGTCAGTAGAAGGCTGTCGGCCGGCCAATGGCCAACCGTTCGGCCAGCCTCGGCTTTCACCTCAGCCGAGCCGAGTCAAAGCATATGCCTTCGGCTCGACTGAGCCGCTCGGCCACCTTTGGGAGCTGTACGGGCTATAGTGAATAGCCCGTACAGGAGCCATTTGGTTCTACTGAACCGAAGGGGTCCTGGGGCCGAGGCTAGCCGAAGGATCGGCCAAAGCTAAGGCTAGATCCTTCAGCAGCTTTGTGAATAGACCCCATAGTCTTTGTCAAATACAGTGAACAAAATGTGACAAATACAGAAATTCTTTATTTCCTATTACCAAAATACTATACTTGACGCCAGAAGACCACCTTGAGTTAAAAACATTTTAAAACACACAGACATGCTTCAAAAATACCCTCATAGAGAAAAAAAATCCTTCTAGGTCCATATATAAAAGAAAATACATCAGAATTCTGTTTTTGATGTTTAACGTAAAGATGCCTAGGGATAAACATATATTGAATCTTCCTTGCTTAGGCCTCAAAGGAATTTTTTTAGTTCTTGAATTATTTTAGAAAAATACACAGGCTAAATCCTTGAATTACGGTAATTATATCGGTTAGCAGAAAATGAGCCTTGTGTCTTGGTGAATGTCTCATAAAGTTAAGTATATAGAGAATATATGGCTCGCATCTGAGTTGTAGTTCCGACTGGGGAATGCAGGTGTTCAGCATGGTTTAAATACATATCTGATCACACTAAAGTGCATGGATGACCATAAGGCATGTTACATGTGTGAATAGTTATAATCCTGTAAAGGTGTCTTAGAATTATTCTAAAATGGTCCTCCTGGTTATAGAGTTGTAAGATCATGTCTGTATGACAATATGTGCACTGAAGATGCAAAGCCCCACATGTAGACATTAACTAAGGTAAAACCATGTAGACCATACATCATCAGAAATGTAAAACACCAGTCCCCATAGTTTTGATGGGAATCACTCAAATGCATAGAATATATACTGTGTAATACTTGGAAAGTGCTTGAAACATTACGACTCTTCACTTAACAAACCCAAATTGCTTGAACGCTTGTAAATTACAGCGGTATATTTTTAGGAGATGGCAACTGCTCACAACACCTGATCCAAAGTTTTGAAGTTAACATCCAAGTTGTTGGACATATTAAGGCGTGTAGGGTTGACAAGAACACAAAGAAGGTCATATAGTTTAAATATATAGTGTGCGCATTACCCAATCCCCTTTCCTTGGTAGATCGGTGCTGCATAAATTGGAGCTCCAATCCAATAGATGTTCTTGGTAATAAAAGCCAAATACATATTCCCTTAGGCAAACAAGAACTGTCTCAGAATGTACTGGTCTCTGTTCGTCTGCTCAGAAAGGCAATCAGACAGGGAAGGAGCATGGCTTTCTCAAGCGGAGAAACGGTGGAAAAAATGGCGGGCCCAACGGCTCTTAAATGCAGCTCAAGACCTTAAAACGCCAAAAGTACACTGTATGCAGAATGTTCTATAAGTTTCATCCCACTCACCTGAGCTGAGCGGAATGCTGGCCAGAGTGTCCAGTTTGCTAAGAGCTGTGAGGGGAAATGTGTATGGCCCTTATACCTCTCGCCACCCGGCTCTTAGTAAGCTGGGACACTGTGGACAGAAACATGACCCAAAGGGAATGCCGTCTGATGCAACAGAGCCGGGGTGCCTCTGGATGGCCATGAATGGAGATTCCTAAATGAAAACCACATTCACTGTATTTCATTTAAAGCAGAACTATGGGGTTCTATCTTTTTTTTATGAATGCATTCCTTAGGCTAAATAAGTAAATAATGTAGTTTACTGTAATTAGCCAAAATGCACAGGAAGGCTGTAAAACCTTATTTTAGGTGGTGGGCGGGGCTAAGCGCCGCAATGAGAAGACATCCCGACGTATCTGACGGGATCCTCCCCACTGATGATTGACAGTGATTCTTGAGAGCTGCTGCGCGTCCACGAATATATGGACATGCGCAGCAGCTCTCTCCTTACCTGCACGTCCCCGTGTGCCAGCTCCTTCCCCCCTCTCTCTCTCTCTCTCTGCTGACAGATCGTGGATCGCTGATGACAACCGGGGATCCGATCAGCAGGGATCTCCAGTGACATAATTTACCATATATGGACTTTCCGATTTGTAGTAAATGCTGAAGAGAGAGAGAGAGAGAGAGCTCCTTCCCCTCTGTCATCAGCGATCCACGATCTACGATCTGTCAGCAGGGAGAGAAAGAGAGAGGGGGGAAGGAGCTGGCACACGGCGACATGCAGGTAAGGAGAGAACTGCTGCGCATGTCCATATATTTGTGGACGCGCAGCAGCTCTCAAGAATCACTGTCAATCATCAGTGGGGAGGATCCCGTCAGATACGTCGGGATGTCTTCTCATTGCGGCGCTTAGCCCCGCCCACCACCTAAAACAAGGTTTTACAGCCTTCCTGTGCATTTTGGCTAATTACAGTAAATTACATTATTTACTTATTTAGCCTAAGGAATGCATTCATAAAAAAAAGATAGAACCCCATAGTTCTCCTTTAATCGAGAAATGATCTCCATCCTGCTCCTTCCATTTTTTTTCATTGATTTGACCCTATTAAATCAAACATTCTGCAAATGGCCTTTTTAAAACAAAATTCTAACTGTATCTACCCAGCTTTTTTTTGTATGCCTGCAGTTAATAGATCCGTTGCATCATATAAAACACAGTATGTGAATTTTCTTTGCTCTCAAATGCAAATACGTCTCAAATGCCCCCATTGAAACTTCTGCATTGGGGTCCTTGGTTGTGTTTTGTGTGTTTTTTTTCAGGCTTGAATGTTGTTGTAGCCAATAGAAAGTTGGTTACTAGGAGAAGGATATGGTTGTTAATCATAAAAGTGCATAGTTTTCAGGCACTTTTCTGGAGTCCCGCGATCTCCAGTAGTTTTGAGGCTTGAAAAAGAGGTTAACCCTCGAAACGGGTAGCCACTGGAGACACCCGACAGTCACAGACTTTGTGATCTACTTCGACATACGGCGCACATCGTTCCCCAGCCGGGTATAGCTCCTCCCACTTTCTGTCTCCGTTCCTGACCGACGCGGCTCGGCCCGGCCAGCCGAGAACGCGGGCGGCCATACTGACACGCACCCCCAACAGATCAGCCTCTCATACCACCGGGGACACCACCGGGTCTCTTCGACCCAGGATCTGTCAAAGGAGGGCGCCGCACGGACCACAGAGAAGCTTCCAACCGTAAGTCAGCTTGCTCTAACAGTACGGCAACAGTACACACCAAGATCCACCAACATCCCCATCACATAGATCCACTAGATCGACTCCATTCACGTCACTTCTGGTAGTTGCCCTCCTGTCCTTTGAGTTTTTATCTGTAGTTGCTAATAGACAGGGTCCTCTCCCTGTAGTGAGGAGCTTTGCACACCTACAAACAACAGCCATCCTATTGAAGTTTGCCCACAGGAGTGCGCTTTATCTTTTTTTGTGTTTTCCATTAGGCAGAGTTAGGCAGAGTTGTCTATAGGCGCCCTTTCATAGAGGGGCGCCGTGCAAGTACCTACTCTGCCTTATTCCTGGTGTTGTGTCAAGATACAACACTGGCAATAGCAAGGAGGGTGCATTCTGCACAAAATGCTTCTGCTCCAAGACCAGTGGCGGCTACAGTAACCGCAGGGGAAGGACCCTGGCACTGCGTAAGACTTCCCTGTAAACCCCTATACCTGTCTGATGAGGACAGATGTTTAGGGCAGCCTTACGTGACACCAGGGTCCTTCTCTGCATATGTGAAAGCTGGTGGGTCACGCAGCAGGTAAGGGCACCGGCTCAGGCTAAACAGATTTCCATTTGTGCCTTCCAGAAATGGAAATCTAGCCCTGACTATAGACAATGTAATGTGATCACATCCGTTGTTTCCAGGTCAGATGTTAGAATTCACTAAATGTATTTTCTTTATAGGAGTGACTGGGTGACCTCTTTCAGAGTGATGGTCAGCAATGACAGCCACAGCTGGGTGATTGCAAAGAATGGAGCTGGAGACGTGGTAAGGCAGTTACATTTCTCTGTCTATAGCTGTATGTTGGGTTGTATTTGGTTCTGTACTTACTAGAGTTCAGTACTGATTTGCACAGTAGTTCCAGTCTGCTGTGTAATCTTGCCCTCTTGTATAGTTGCCAAATATTCTTCTTTCTGCAGGACAGCTTGACCATCTTGTAGACTGTCCCACGACCCCCTGGCCTGTGGAATGTCCCACCAGGCTGGGGGGGGCAGGACAGACGTTGACGCAACTCGCACCACCAATTTTTCCTAAACTGTCTAGCCAATTCTATAAAAATGTTGCCAACTATGTAATTTTCACCATAAATTAGTAGAAACAAATGTACGGAAAAAGTTACGGTCAGCCAATGAGTCTTTCAGTCAATAAGTGTCATGTACAGTATATACAACAAAGCATTATAGTTCATGGAATCCATCCCACCAAAAGTCAGCAAGATTTTATTTTTTATTTATTTATTTTTTATTTTTAAATGAGCTTGTTAGCTGGAACCTAATAGGTTGATTTAGGTAAGCGGCACCTATTGTCTTTATAGACAAAATACCCTGTCAGGCTTATTCAAGAAGTCAGAGAGCAGAAAGCCTTAAATGCCATCACACTTCATATTTCACTGACCTGACTATACTAAACCGAAATGTGATGATGTCAGCACCACTCTCTGCATCATTACACTGAGTGTGTAGGGCGTCGTGGTGACACCCCCTCGGGGGTGGGTCTTTAAAGCCCTGCACTCACGATATGCCCTCAGTCCTCCGGGTTGATTGACGCTGGACATTATCTAGTGATGAAAAAAATGGACTTATCCTAGTTAAAGTCTTATTTTCTGATTTAATTGTCTTTCACGGGGTAAATGTAACATCCCTAATACCCTAAGAACATTTCCTCCTAAGAGAAAATAGGCTAAGAACATTGGCCCAAATAAATAATCTTCCTAAACAATTACCTAACAACATTCAACAAAAAATAGCCTAAAACAAAAGCCCAAACACATTCGACCAGAAGGGAAAATAGCCTAAAACAATAACTTACAGAACAGCTCCAGGATTTTTAAAAATTAAGCCATGCAGAGGGGCTACTTCCACCCTGCTATGGTTAAGGGCTCATTTTGGTCAAGAGACAAAAAAAAAGAAAAGATACTCACCTGGCTGCTATACCGGTCCCTGCAGCCGCTTCTTCCACCAGGCTCCTGTGGTCTAAGAACTTGTGATGTCATCATGTTTAATGCAGGTCTATTAGACATAAAGACACAGAGAGACATAAAACAGCTGGAGTGGAGGGGAAGAGAGGTGATCGGTTAGTGCCACAGGACCAAGAATCAGTTGAGTCTTTCTTCTTTTTTTTTTTCTCAGCCCCTAGAGAAAAACAAGCAGCAATCCCTTGTAGTGCGGGGCGTAGCCCCACTGCAAGGGTTAATTTTTCAGAATCCTGGAGTGGTACTTTTACAACATTTTACCAGAAATAGCCTAAAACAATAGCCCAAGAACATTCGAACCGAAGTGAAAATAGCCTGCAACAATAGCCTAACAATATTTGACCAGAAATAGCCTAAAACAATAGCTTAAAGGAGAACTTAAAGGTAAGTGTTTTTCCCCATAGTTCTCCTCAGGGTCACGGGAGGACATAAACCAGCGTCCTCCCATGCCCCAAAGCTCAGTATACCGCAAGCTACAGCTCGCGGTATACTGAGACCGCCGCAGCTGGGACGGGTTCCCGACATTACTGTCGAGATCCACCCAGCTGCGTGATTGACAGCTGGCTCTGCCTATCTAGAGGCAAGAGCCAGCTGTACCCGCCCCCTCCCCCATTCGTTTCTCCAGTCAGCGCTGGAGGATTGGAGCAGGGAGGGAAGGAATCCATGCAGGGAGCAGTAAGTGGCAGTCACGGCTCTCTGCAGGGACAGGATCGAGAAGTGAGCAAGCAACGGTATGTGTTCGCTCACTTCCTGATCTACAGAGCCAACGTGTGACAGTTTAATTGTCACACGTCGGCTCGAACTATGAGGTTGAGTGAAAATCACTCACCTCATAGTTCTCCTTTAAGAACATTCCATCAAAAGTAGCCTAAAACAATAGCCTGACAACATTTGATCAGAAGAGAGAACCAAATGATCACTTGATTTTGTCCCATTCGCACAAAAGCCACAGCTACCGTATATACACTTTGCAAAACATCCCTAAACCTAATGAGTGAATGCTGGTTTATTCCCACAGAACGAATGTACATGCACTTTCGCTGGGCGAATATGGACCCCTTTGTGTGCTTTTTAATATTGAAGTTGGCTGCATGTATTTTGGTCAGCTTTGGTTCTCCTATCCCCTGTGCGAGTGGTTAATGTTACTTAATCATTAGTGGAATCTTGAGAGAGATCTCAGAATTGCACTCTGCTGCCAAGTTTCATCTGGAAGGAAGTCTTTCCATAAAACCCCAGTTTATGAAGCTGCGGTTTTACTAGCAGTGGTTGAGTGCACACAATCCCTTTCTTGAAGGATTTACAGATGGAGAGAGACAGGGCTGCCGAGTCAGTCGCCGAAATGCGGCACATGTGAAACTCATTTACTGCACGGCAGCGAGCAGAGATAAAGGACCTCGGCTTGCAGAAATCACTCTACAGATATGGTTCAAGTGTTTAATTGCTGCAAAGCATATGAAATATGAGTGTCCTGTTCAATGAAACCTATCATGAGAGAAATATTGGGGCTACCATTGTTAACCTCCTTTAGAAAATGCTAACTGTATGGCTATCTTAGCCCTTTGGTTCAAAACAGAGTTGTTGACTTGGAACAAGCATGAAGATCAGGAGATAGAGAAACTTACAGCTTCTGCATACTGTGTTGATAACTCAAAGTCAAGACCAAGGAACAGCCAGGCAATTCATATTTAAATAAGACCAGTAATGGTAGCCTCCATTTTTTTACATGACAGGTTTCCCTATACGGGAATTATTAAAATGCACTAGGAAGGCAAATAATGCATTGCAACCATTTGTGATTTATCAAAAATAAAATAAAATAAAAACTGAACTCTGATTGGTTCCAGTTTTTTTTACTCTATTTTTTTCCATTTATTTCTGTGAGAATTATTTGAACCATTTGAGAACTTTGGGCATAAGTGGTACACCCAAGTGAACTTTACCTAAGTTCTTTGGTTGTACCATATACACCCAAAGCTTCCTCCCATTTTGTGACTACAATACCAAGCTGGGTGTGACTTTCACAACTGGGTCATAGTCTGCATTGCGAGTGCAGACAGCAAGGGGTTGGAAGAAACTATAAAACTGCTAGGGGTGTTTAACAGCTGCAATGACAGATAAAAAAGAAGAGAGAAAAGCCTAAAAAAAGAAATCTAATGCAGCCACCACATCTAAGGACTGGTAAGCTGCAATATATCACATTTGTGTTCTTAGGTTTAGATACATTTTAACAACACACAGTTATACAATTACAGACCTTTTCACTTCACTGGTCTTTCCACAGATGATTTCTGAGTAGTTGCTATGTGTTACTTATTATATAAGATTTTTACTGTACTGAATCCATTTTTTCCTTGGGTACTTTTATATAAAGGACCCATTACCTCTGGCATGTCAATGTACATTTGGGTTTCTGTATCTCAGCAGAGCACTTGTCATTTTTACAGCTATTTACTGGCAACAGTGAGAAAGAGATTCCTCTCCTGAATGAATTTCTAGAACCTTTGGTTGGCCGTTATATTCGGATTAACCCTCGCTCTTGGTATGAAGAGGGGAGCATATGTATGAGGATTGAAATACTTGGATGTCCTCTGCCAGGTTAGTGGATCATTACTACGGTAGTTGGTTTAATTAATTTCAGATAGTACTATTTATTCAGTTTTCATCCCTTAAAACTCTTACATCTTCCTGGACCCTGTTAGTATTATCACCCGTCTGCATAGTGGGGGAAGGAGCTCTATAAAGTTTAAAGAAAGCTTAAAATGGAACTCCATTGTGAGTAGTGCCAGTGCTGTGAGCCAACTAGGGTCCATTGCATTACAGGTTGCTGTTATTTTATTTATTATTTGTAGTACTTTTACAGTGCTTTACATACTGCATATTCACATCAGTCCCCATACTCAAAGAGCTTACAATCTAACAGTGGCGTCACAAGGGTGGTGTGGCCCGCACCCGGGTGACACCATTGGAGGGGTGACACCAAAATGACTCACAGTCAAAGTCGGGCGCTCGGTCATGGACCGAACGACCGACAGTATCAGGAGAGAGGAGGGGACCCGGCGGCATACCTTATCCCGCCGGGTGACTGTCCCCTCCTCTCTCTGCCGGCGTCCATCACCAAGATGGCCGCCGGCAGGTATCAGAATACTGCAGCGCGTGCGCGATGACTTCATCGCGCATGCGCGTGGTGACGTCATACGCATGCGCAGTGACGTCTCGGCGGGGTGACACTCGGTTACCGCTCCGGGTGTCACCTAGCCTCGGGATGCCCCTGCAATCTAAGATCCCGATTTCACCTGCATACATACACATACAAAGTAGGGCTGATTTAGACAGAAGTTAGTTGACCTACCACCTTGTCATTGGAGTGTGGGAGTACTATGGATTACCGAAACCCACGCAAACACAGGGAGAACATGCAAACTCCATGCAGATAGCGCCCTGACCAGGCTTCGAACCGGGGACCCCCATTGCTGCAAGGCAGGAGAGCTAACCATGTTTCATGCATGGGGTAAGGGGCTTAGAAAAAGGACAGGAAGGGGGGGGGACATTACATATTTGGTATATCTCATTTATAGTCTATTAAGGAGTGATGATAGCACAAGAAAGCTGTTAATAACGGATTCCAGTGTGGCTGGAATGTGCGAATCACAAGAGTGGCAAAAATGAACCACATATATTTTGGCAGCTGAATGGTATTATTTCATATATATGGCTAGAGTTCTGCTTTAGCAGCAGTTGACAGGTTGACAGGTGATTGCATGACCCAGGTTTCTCGCAGCTTGGTCACCCCCTCCCCCCTCTTTATCCATGAAGGAGTTGCGATCTGAAATGTGTAAGTTGGCATCCTGCTTTCCTGGCTGCCACCTGCCTGTCCCTTTTAAGGCATCCTTCTACACCTGGATTAGTTTTGATTCATTAATGTGGCTTGTTCCATCCCATTGGTGTTGGCTATTTCCATATCTGTCCTTCATCTGACGGGAATACAGTGCATTTATTTGTTTTTTAATAACAGTGATGCACTCTCTCCTTTATTGCATTTGCATTTTAGTCATTTTTATACTGCCTATGTTGTAAGCTTGCAAGGACGAGCAGACTGCCAACTTCCCTTACTAGTGAGCGCATTCTTAGTTTTGTTTAGTAATTTGCTGAAGGTTAATATTGTGCAATGTGGAATAATCCAAAACACATAAAAATGGCTCAATATTTTTAGAGTTTTTATTACAATTTTCATACCATATAATTGGCATGTTAAGTTAATTCTGCAGTATTTTTGCAGTTGGGAAAGAGTGACCCTGAGTAATGCTAATGCAGTACTAATGAGTTATCCTGCTGTGTTCAGACCTTGGTTCTACTTGAGGCTCCATGCTTGCTTTGTTGGATCTTCTTCCTTTCATCTGCACTAATATCAGTATTAAATATACAGTAGACTATAAGGGACACTATCATATGTGTATTTATAGAGAGCTATTACTGCAGTATTTGTCTTATTTTTGTAATGTTCACATTTTTGATTGCATGGTCTTCCATATAAAACAGGGAGGGGAATGCACAAAATTAAGGAAAACCCAAAACCTAAAGTAGTCCAAATGCATTAGCTTGATGATATTTATTTCTGTTTCCTTTACCTAGATCCCAATAATTATTATTATAGACGAAATGAGCTCACAACATCAGACAATCTGGACTTTCGACATCACAACTATAAGGAAATGAGACAGGTATATCACCATGACATGATAGTTCTATAATATTTAATGAGGCCAAGAACAGAGAATAGTAAGCCACTGCCATTGGTCTGAAAACTGAAAGCTGATTGGTTACTTTGGGTAATGCACAACATTGCTCTGTGTGCTGAATTGTTCAAAGGATATCCTGCTAGGCTTACCAATCCACCTCCCACAGTTGAAAGCTAGCATACCATGCTTTAGAAACTGGGGACTGGGTTATTCACTTGTAGACAAGCAATCAGGCTGGGGGCAGAGAGGTGTCATAGGAAGCTGGAGAAATGTTAAAGCAGGACTGAACTGTGAAGGCTGTGCCCAAAAAGTCAAGCAAACCGCAAACAAGTGGTCACCAGTATTATCTGTGGTCCCCCCACAGCTAACCTGATCCCATTATTGGCTTACCATGCCTTGTTCTGCACTGTGTCTCTCTAAATGGAGTCTTCCTTATGTCTGAGCCTCTAGCAAGAACACTAAGTCCTGGTTCACACCAAGGCGTATTGCATATGCGCGTCTGTCGCGCGTTTTCTTACCGCGATTCGCGGTAAAAAAATTGCACGCATGTTTCCGAGGGCTACTTGGCTGTATCCCAATGGAAACGCGCTACAAAACGGCCCAAAGTAGTACATGTACCTTTTCAGGCGTGGGCCGTTTTGTAGCGCGTTAGGGACGGGCCGAAATACGCCAAGGTGGGAACGAGACCATTGACTACAATGGGATTTATATTTTTGAGCGTTTTGTAGAGCGTTCGTCGAGCGTAGAACGCGCTACAAAACGTTCAGGTGTGAACGAGGCCTGAGCAGCACTGTGTTGACATCACCCAATTTAACTCCATATCTCCTGAAACTACCAGTCAGAGGCAGCAGTGCATCTTCACTTTTTCTGTTCAACTCCACTTTAAAGTAGTATTGAACTTTCAAATGTTGAATCGGGATCCAGCATTACCACTGCACCATTTTCTAAATCCCCCAGCAACACAGTTTTACTACCTGTTGATCCTGACAGTAGATTCAATATTTTTCCAAGCTATCAAGTAAAATGACAGTTACAGAATTGGAACAAATGAAAATGTGGGGGAACCACATTGCACAGAGCATCGTCTAATTTAGTAGAGAATAAAAAATCCCACATTGGCAATCCCTACCGGCAGGATCAGCAAGTAATAAATGTTTATGTTTCTCTAGGACTGTAGCAGATGTTATTGCCGCACCTCCTGACCTAGACCCTCATTGCAGCTACTGTGTATATGTTTTTATACACTACTACTGAATTATCTATCTTTGTAACACAGACAATATTCCAATACCTGGTCTTTAGCTGTCCTACTATAACATATCTACTTTTTTATTTACATTATTACTCTTCTAATTGAACCATGACATCCTCTTGTTTTTCCAGCTGATGAAGGTGGTAAATGAAATGTGTCCTAACATTACCCGTGTCTATAATATTGGACGTAGTCACAATGGCCTCAAGCTCTATGCCATGGAGATGTCTGACAAGCCCGGGGAGCACGAAGTCGGTTAGGAGAATAAACACACTCTATGTATGTCCTGCGACTTCCCGCCTGTCTCTTCTATATCTTCCCTTATTTCTGTGCATTGGACTGGCTGGTTCTGTGTTGTGATTCCACCAAGGGAGGGCTGGCACCAACACTATTGCAGGGACTTGTTTTTAGGCAACTAGAGATGATACTTTAGGTCAGGAAAGAATGTTTCAGCTATGCACATTTATATACAACATCTATTTATGTTGAACTCAATGACACCAGAGCTACATAAATATTTGCCTGCAGGATGTTCTAGCATAGTAACAAATACAAATATTTCACATTTGTTGACCAAAAAATATGTTCGTGACATTCAACCTAATTACAAATTCCTTTCTTTTTCAATCTTTAGCTTGCTCTGTCCCTATTCACGTTGTTTTTGTACATCAATCGGCAGAATTCATCCAAAGTTATCTCAGTTTTGGGTCATTGCTGGCAAGCTGAATCACATTGGCTACTTATATATTTAGGGGACTTCATTGCTGAGATACCCTCACTAGAATAACCAGTTTGGCCCAAATGCTGCAGTAATTACAAAGCCGAATCATGTGGTGTCATGTTGCCCGATAGAGTTCCAACAGTATGCAATGCACAAATTACTGAGGAGCTCAACTCCCGGAAAATTATATTTACATTCTTACAAGAGTGACACAAACTACTACACGGGAATGTAGATATTGAAGTTGTTGAGAGAAATGCAATAAGAACCCAATGGATGATTCAGCCCACTTGAAGAAGTTGACCTTAAATGTGTTCTTTCATCTGAAAACTAGAGAAAAAACTAATTAGCTGGAGTTCCACTTACGATTTACCTGTACTGGTCCTATTTTACAGTGGAGTTTTAATTTAAAGGGTGGCTATGGGGCAATATGGACCATTTCTGTCTGATATATATACAGTTTGGTTATTAAGACCATTTGCCTTTAGAAGGGCTAAATGCAATTACATTCTGGTAGCCAAGGATATGCGTGAAATGCTGTAAGGATCTGTTTGCATTCCTGTACATGCCTATGCATATGCAAAACTCACTTGAAGCAGGTCAAATACAAGTTGGAAGGAGGTCAACTGCAGGTAAAATGTACCTGTCAATAAATTATAAATGAGCTCAGAAGTATCCTAAACTCATGACATCGACACAAGCCCAAAGTCCGTCCACACAGGCCCTTATACTGACTTTGCTGTGATGTCTTTAGAAGAAGTTGCCAGCCCTCTCTCTGTCCTGATTTCATGTACATTGTCTATGCTGTCACTGTCTCTTTACTTTGCTGCCCATGTGTGCAAACATATGTCTCTGTTATAGAACCTGGCCTTCAAGAAGCATTCTGGGGAAAAAGAGGAAATTAAACATTGATGTGTTGCTCAAATCAACTTATTGAATGCTAAATGGTTGAAATCTAGATCACGTGGACACTTTTCTTTCTTGAATGTGCTGATCTGAATGAGACCCTTTCCTTGCAGCTATATGTACAAGTGTCTTTCAGGTCATAGAGGAAAGACCATGACTCTAAACATTGATGGACCCCATTTCTAAAATATGGTAGGGAGGAAAAATTAGGATATTTTTTTTAAAAACCAATACAGTTCCACCAGCAATGGTAAAGCTTAGAATCGGAAACAAATATCTGATTGATCAGCACTTGAACTTTTCTTTCTGCTTATCTTACATCTTCTAGGAAGTTTCAAGTCAAGTTTTGATCTGTTCAGTGTCTTAATGGTTCCTGAGAACCTAAAGGCCAACTTCACACACAGTAGATACTGTAGAGTTATTCCTCTTCCCAAAAGCAAGACATTCTCACAGATGAGTTTTTGTCTGTTCCTCATTATGGAGAATCTATTTGAGGTACTGTGATACCACCATGCGGTCTTGTAAAGGTCTTGTAATGGTTAGCAACTAGTAATTATGATGTATATAGGTGCCCATACACTGCACGATTATCGTACGATAATCGTATGCGATCGGTTTTTCGTACGATAATCGAGCAGTGTGAACAGAGACGTGCGACCGTTTCTACTGTACGGTCGCACGTCTTCTGTCGAACCAGCATGTTCGAAAACCAGCCGGGAATCGTACGATTCTCGGCTGGTTAGAACGGTGCTCGGAAGATAAATGCTGAACGGGCCGGTGTGTGCCACCTTTATCCTGCCAACGGGATCCTTAAGTGGTAAAAAAAAAACTTTTGTTGAGTTTATTAGAATTCCTTTAAATCTGAAAATATAAATTTTGAATGGAAATACCCTTTAAAGGAGAACTATGAGGTGAGTGAAAAATCACTCATCCTCATAGTTCGAGCCGACGTGTGACAAAGAAACTGTCACACGTCGGCTCAATAGATCGGGAAGTGGGCGAAAACATACCGTCGCTTGCTCACTTCTCGATCCTGTCCCTGCAGAGAGC